GAACAGCAGCAGCAACAACAGCAGCAGAAACCCGAACAGCAGCAGCAGCAACAGCAGCAGCAGCAGCAGCAGCAGCGCCGTACCTGAATGAGATCTAGTACGGCGAGCGCATGCGTAATTGAGCCCCCTGTGGAGTGTATATGCAGGTATATGGGGCTGTGTCTGTCTCCTTTGCTGTCTGCTGCTTCTTCCAGCAGCAGCAACGAAGACAGCAACTCCTCAGCACTTGTGGGGTTTATATCCGAGAACAAGAAGAGACAGCGATCCCTGCGCTGTCTGCGTACAAACCCTAAACCCTAAACCCTAAACCCTCATCTTTACGCCATACCCTAAACCCTAAAACCTCGCATTTGAACCAAACCCTAAACCCTAAACCCTTATCTGTAAACCACACACCAAACCCTAAGAGGCTGCAGCAGCCACCAAGCTCAATTAAACAGAAGCAAACCCTCTCTGTTCTGCTGCTACGGTATTAAAAGAAAAGCCCTCACTCGAAACCATAAGAAAGCTACTCAGAGATACCGGATGGGGACTAGGGTTTAGGGTTTAGGGTTTGTGGTTTAGGGATTAGGGCCCAGGGTATGTGAGGATTAACGTTTAGGGTTTAGGGTTTTAAGGGTATTTGAAAATCAGGGTTTACGGTCTAGAGGTTAGGGTTTAAGGCTTTAGAGTTTTGGGCTTTGGGGACTAGGGTTTAAGGGCGAGGGTTTGGGAATTAGGGTTTAGGGTTTACGAATTAGGGTTTAGGGTTTAGGGTTTGTTAGCGGACTTATCGTAGAGATTAATCCACCCCTTCGACTCCGCAGCAGCATCAGCAGCAAACACGCTGGGTACCCCTGCACCACAAACACCAATACTCACTGCTGCTGCTGCTGCTGCTGCTGCTGCTGCTGTTACTACTGCTGCTGTTGCTGCTGCTGTTGCTGCTGCTGCTTCTGCTTCTACTGGATCTGTTGTTATTGCTGCTGTTGTTGCTGCTGCTGCAGCTAGCTGACCTACCTAACGAATTCACAACTGTGGTTGGGGGCCCCCGGAGTTGTTTAGAGAAGCTGAAGGAAGGGGGGCCCCCCAGGGGGGCCCCCTTTAAGGGGGCCCCCCACAGGGGGCCCCCCAGGTGTGAGGTGCGCAGGAAGCAAAACTGCGTGCTGTAGGAGAGGTAGGGGGCCCTTAAGAAGCGTGTTTTGTTTGCTGCTGCTGCTGCTGCTGCTCTTGCTCCTGCTGCTGTTGCTGCTGCTGCTGCTGGTGATGGTGTTGCAGGGGAGGGCCCCCTAAGGCTCAGGGCAGCAGCAAGGGCCCCCAATAGCAGCAAAGAAGCAGCAGCAAACCATAAACAGCAGCATGCAGATAAGAGGGGCCTCCACCCCACAGCATATCTCTTATACGTCATCACAGGCACAGGTAAAGGCTGGGGGCCCCCTAAAGAAGAAGATTAGGGGGCCCCTAACGAAGAAAATATGAGGGCCCCTGGGGGCCCCTGTGCAGCTGCAGAAGCCGTTATACGCAGAGCTTTGCTGCTTGTACTACCCGCACCAAGCTGCAGTAAACCCTAAACCCTAAAGTAAGGAGGGATTAAATTAGGGTTTGGGGGGCCCCATTAGAGGTAGCTGAAGAGGGGCCCCTGCGTTATTGTTATTGTTGCTGCATATACACCTGAATGCCTCTGCAGTATATTCACTCAATCTTCTCCTCAACCTCATTAATACAACTTTAACAACTCCTAAGTGTCCACACAAAAGTGCTGGGGGCCCCCAGAGGGAAGGGGGCCCCCAGGGGGGCCCCTAGGGGGGCCCCCCGGGGGCCCCCCTGGGAGAGGGGGGCCCCCAGTGCAGCCGACAGCCCCCAGCGTGCTGCTGCAAGGATGTGTTTTGGGGTAGCATTATTATTCTGTTGTTATATTAAAACAAAATATTATTTACGTTCTATGTTTGTTTTATTGAAGAATGAGATAATAATATAAAGAGGAGCAGCAGCAGCAGTAGCAGCAGCAACAGCAGCAAAAAGAAAAAGACAGGAGGCGACGCACTAGTGCGTCTTAGGTGTATATCCACTCAAGAGCTTAGGGTTTAGGGTTTAGGGTTTAGGGTTTAGGGTTTAGGGTTTAGGTAGTAAGAGTTTGGAGTTAAAGACAACACCCAATAAACATGAAGAGGAGCAGGTTCTTCTCTTCTTTCCCTCTGTCTCTACAGCTAATTATTCGCATGCAGCAGCAGCGGCTGCTGCTGCTGCAGCTGCTGCTGCAGCTGTTGCTGCTGCTGCGCTGCAGCGCAGCAGGGGGCCCCCCACCCAGTCCCTGGGAGTTGCCGATACCCAGCGACGCGGAGTTGCTTGCAGCAGCTGCACCCTCTATAGAGTTGCCTTTGCTGCATGAAAATATGCTGCACTGGGGGGCCCCCTATAGGTCTCTTAGATTCCTAAAAGGGTACAGGGGCCCCCCTAAACTCTCCCGAGTAAATCTGTTTATCTACTGCATTCAAGACTTTACTCAAACCCACCAATTAGTAGAACACCTGCTGTCTCCGCCTATCCTACAAACCCCTATACACACACAGGAGACCCATAAGGGGGCCCCCCAAGGGGCCCCCCAAGGGCCCCCCCAAGGGGCCCCCAACAGGGCCCCCCTTGGGGGCCCCCAAGGGGCCCCTCAAAGGGGCCCCCAAATGGCCCCCCTTAGGGGCCCCCAAGGGGCCCCTCAAAGGGGCCCCCAAATGGCTCCCCTTAGGGGCCCCCAAGGGGCCCCCAAAGAAGCCGCACAGGGAGACACTCAGGGGGCCCCTATGGGGGGCCCCTTAGGGGCCCCTTTAGGAGATGCTGAATGGGCAATAAAGGAGTTATCTTCTTCGTTTGAGTTGGTAAGAAAGCTGATGAAGGAAGGAGATATAATTCAAGAGGTGGTTGTAGCTAGAGCATTGCTGCAAATGAAAAGGAAGGCTGAAGAAGAAGAAGTGTCTCCGAGAGCTGTCTCCTTTATGCTGCCACTGTTGCTGCAGTGGTGGGGATGGTTTAAGCAGCAAAAGGAGACAGATAAATACCCTATGAGGGCCCCCCCTATTCAGGTGTATAGGCAGGGGCCCCCCATCTGCTCCAGATTAAAACAATACCTGAACCCTTGGGCGTGCTTCGCTGTCTCCTGTCTCCTTCCTCAGCTTTCTTTTAAAGACTTCCTTACGACTCTCCTTCTTATGGGAGACACACAGCAGCAGCAGCAGCATCAGCAAAAGCAGCAACAGCAGCAGGAGCAGCGGAGATCAGGAGACACTCTGCTGCTGCGCCGCTGTACACCTGTCTCCTTTGTATGGGCCCAGCTGATGGGGGCAGCAGCAGCAACGAGGGGCCCCCTTGAGGTGTATCTAAGAGAAGAAAGCAGAAAAATATCTCAAAGAATTATTTCTGAAGCTAAAGAAGCAACACAGCTTGAAATATTGCAGTCGCGCATGCAAGCAGCAGCAGCAGCATCTGCCGCAGCAGCAGCAGCAGCAGATGCTGCTGCTGCAGCTGCTGAAAGGAGCGGTGCTAGTGCTGATGCTACAGCAGCAGCTGTTAGTCCTTTGCTTTTATCAGCAAAGAAGACAGAAAAAGAAGAGGGAGAGGCCCCCCTCTCAGCAGCAGAGCTGCAGCAGCAGGTTGCTGCTGCTGTTATGAAGAGACAAACAGCTATTAAAGAAGCAAAAGATATTGCAGAGGAGACAGATAAAATAGAAAGAAGAAGAATGCTGCTAATGCATGCAAACCCAACTGATGTTTGTCTCGCCTCTCTCGCAGCAATAAAAAGTAAAAACAACACAAAAAGAATAAATTATAATAAACAACAAATAATAAACAACATCAAGCAAAGGAGACACTGATAAACAAAAAGAAATATAAAAAAAGAACAGAGACAGCAAATAATAAACAACAAACAAACAAAGGAGACATCAATATGCTAAAAAGAAATATAAATATAAATGAAGAACAAGCGAAGAAATAGACGAGGAAGCAAAAGAGACAGACAACAAAAAGAAGAAAAAGAAAAAGATATAAATAAATAGATATAAATAAATAGACAAACAAGATATAAAAAGAAACAAACAAATAAACAACATGAATATATATATATATATATATATATATATAGCCTTTGCAAACTGGCTAGCTAGCTGCAGTGACTAGCTAGCTACTTAGCTAGCTAGCTAGCTGCTACGAATAGCTAGCTAGCTAGCTGCTACGAATGGCTAGCTAGCTAGCTAATCGTTGTAAACAAGCTAGCCAGCTATTGCAGTTCTGCATTGCCTGGCATCCCCTAGCAACTAGCCAGCTACTATCCTAGCTAGCTAGCAACTTAGCTATCTAGCTAGCTAGCTAGCTCTGCCTATATATATATATACATATATATATATATGCATTTAATACCGTTATAAATAATGTATATATATATATATAACTTGCTCTGCCTATATATATATATATATATACATATATATAATATATATATATATGCATTTAATACCGTTATAAATAATGTATATATATATATATATACATATATATATATATATGTATATATATGTATATATATATATATATATATGCTTATTATTGTTCTGAGCAAAAGGCATTTCTTTTTCGGTTTGAATATAAAAAAAGAAAATAAAAAGCCAAGCAGCAGCTCCGCTGTTTTTAGGTTTGCTGCTGCGCATACACTGCGAGGAGACTACATATAATATTAATAATAAATATTGAAGACAATAAAAAATAATATTTTATTAATAATAAATAAAAGAAAACAATTTATTATTTTATTTTTAAGTACCAGTATGGCTAGCGAAGACAGCACAACGAGCTGCGTATACACCTCAAATAAATCTAAGTGCGCAGACACCAGAGGCAGCATCTGTTGCTGCAAAAACAAATAAATTCTTTTCTTTGTTTGTTCTTCTCTCTGCAATAAACACGCAACAACCCCACCCTAAAACAATTAAACAACGCCAACAGAAAAACAAAAAAAAGACAGCGGTTTTCTGCTGTCAATCGGAGATATCAGATTCGCTGCTGCTGCTGCTGCTGCTGCTGCTGCTGCTGCTGTGTCCGCTACTGCTGCTGGTGCTGCTGTAGCTGCTGTATTCGCTGCTGCTGCTGCAGAGGAAGCCCCTCATGATGTCGACGTCGCTGTTGCTGCTGCTGTCTCCTTTGTCTCCTCTTGCCCCCTTTCGTTGAAGAGGTTTGTAAACATAAGATGTGGGTTTCGGTACATAACCCTTAGCTATGCGGCGTCTAGCCAGCTGCTGCTGCTGCTTCTGCAGCAGCAGCTGCTGCTGCTGCTGCTTGTGCTGGAGCAGCAGCACACGCAGAGCCTCGTGTTGCTGCTGCAGCACCGTTGCAGCAACTGCAGGCGAGGTGCTGATCTCGTCAGTGCTGTTTCCTCTTTTATCTGTCTCCTTTGTTCTATCTGTCTCCTTTGGGGTGTCTGTCTCCTTTGTATTGTCATCAGAAGATAGAGAAGGTCTCCGTCTCCTTGGAGCCCTCCCCGCTAGCCACCAAGGGAAGTACAATTGCTGCTGCTGCTGCTGCTGCTGCTGCAGCGGGAGCAGCAGCTGCTGCTGCAGCAAAGGCGTACGCAGCGAAACGCCTGCATGCGCAGCAGGATAGCCGTTTGCTGCTGCTGAGCAGCTGTCCCCTGCCTTCGCCCCCGCAGCAGCAGGAGCAGCAGCAGCAACAGGAGCAGCAGCAGATGGCTGCAGCAGCTTTGAAGAGACAGCGGAAGAGGAGAAAGGCGGGGGAGACGCAATAAAAGGAGACAGTCTCCCCTCCTCGGCATCGATGCAGAGACAGTCAAATCCATCTATTTGAAATGCTGCAAAAGGAGACAGACAAACACAAAAAGAATTAAAAAGGAGACACTTCAAGACAGAGACAAACAATAAAACAAACACACCCAACGGGGTTCACCAACAAAGCAGACGAACGCATTAAATCAATAAATAAGGAGACAGCAGCACCAAGATAAGACCTTATATCTAGACCTTAGGGTTTAGGGTTTAGGGTTTAGGGTTTAGGGTTTGACCTTGTGCGTGGATGGGTTCAGGGATGTAGGCGAGCTGCTGCTGAGTTTGTTTAAATGTATCAGCGAGCTGCTGCATTTCTCTCTGAGCCTTCTCTAGATTAAGAAGTCTTTGCTTTAACTGTCTCTCTGTCTCCCTCTGCAGCTGTCTCTCTGTCTGCTCGTCTTCGTCAGAGCTAATATACCGCAGCTCGGGGTTGTTTGCTGCTGCTGGAGGCTGCAGCATTCCCAAGGAGACAGAAGAAGAGACAGAGTCGCTTTCACTTGTACTTTGCTGCTGCTGCTGCAGCTGCTGCTCCAGTTGCTGCTGCTGCCGACACAAATCCGACAGCTGCGACAGCAGCAAACGCTCTTGCTCTCGTGTCTCCGAGTCTGTGTCGCTGCTGCTGCTGCTGCTGCTAAGCTTGCTGCTGTTGCTGCTTCTGCTGCTGCTTGCTGCTGCAGCAGAGCGACGGCGTCGTAGCCTCCTTACTGCACCAGCAATTGTTGCTGCTGCTGTGAGGCCGAGGCCCTTAGGCTTAGGGGGAGGTGGAGGGGGCGTCTGATCGCTGCTGCTGCTGCGTTTGCTGCTGCTGCTGCTGCTGCGTCTGCTGCTGCTGCTGCTGCTACTCGGGGCTGGTGTAGGCTCCTTTGGAGGAGGCGGAGGGGGCTCAGGTGTCTCCTTTTTTGTCTCCTTTTGTTTGGGCTGAGGAGACACTACTTGCTCTTGCACTTCTGCTGCTGTCTCCTTTTCTTTCTTCTCTTTCTTCTCTTTCTTCTCCTTCTTCTCTTTCTTCTCTTTCTTTTCTTTCTTATGTTTGTCTTTCTTTTTCTTTTTATGAGTCTCCGCCGCCACCACTGCTGCTGCTGCTGCTGCTGCTGCTGCTGCTGCAGCTGGGGCAGCAGCAGCAGCAGCGGCAGCAGTAGCAGCAGCATCAGCAGCATCAGCAGCAAGTTCTGCTTCTGGAAGGGGAGCATTTGTAGTTGTGGTGTCTGGGGACTGTGGAGACATCTGCATGTCAGTGTTTTGTGCATTTGTTTCATCTTCAGGTGTCTCTTCTTCTTTTTTATGTTTCTCTTTCTTCTTCTTCTTCTTCTTGCTCTTCTTCTCCTTTGGCTGCTCTGCAGCAGCAGCATCAGCATCACCTGCTGCAGCAGCAGCAGTAACAGCAGCATTTCCTTCTTCTTCTGTCTCCTCTTTCTCGTTACAGTAAGGTCTGCTCCCAGGGCCTTCCCAACCAAAGGTAGCAGCTCCTCCTGCAGCACAGCAGCAGCAGCAGCAGCAGCAGCTTGACCAGCAGCAGCAGCAGCATGACCAGTAGCAGCAGCAGCAGCTTGACCACCAGCAGCAGCAGCATGACCAGTATCAGCAGCAGCATGACCAGCAGCAGCAGCAGCAGCGTAAGCAGCAGCAACCCACGAAGGCAGATTGCCCTACGAACTAAGGTTTATGATATAGAGTTTAGGGTTTATAATTTAGGGTTTAGGGTTTAGGGTTTAGGACCTGTGATATCTGCGAAAACCTCATTATTTTGCAGCATCTGTTCTGTCAGTTGGCTGAGGGCCTCCATAAGGAAGACAGGGCTAAGAGCGCCTGCAGGTTTATTATTATTTTCAGTGTCTCCTTCTTCTTTAATCTCTGCTTCTTCTCCTTCTTCTTCTTCTTTTTGTTTTTTAAGTGCATCAGATGAGTCAGCCAGCAACGGGTCAGGGTATATAGCAAACACCAAACGCTTTTCAAAGTAACGCGCTTGGAAACCTCGCACCCGACTAGGGCTTATGCTGCACACAAACCCTAAACCCTAAACCCTAAACCCTAAACCCTAAACCCTAAACCCTAAACTCTAAACCCTAAACCCTAGACAATAAACCATAAACCCTCAACCCTAGACTTATATATGAGACCAGAGAGAAATAACAAAACACGAGAAAGGAGACAGTGAAGACGAAAAACAGCAGCAAGAAAAAATCGCAGCAAAAGGAGACAGCAACAGAAGAAGAGAAAGCAGACAGAAGAGACAGCAGCAAGAAGAGACAGCAGACAAGACAGCGGAGACAGCAGAAAAAAGAGTAGAGACAAAAGACAGTAGAAAAGAGACAGAAGACAAGCGAGGTTAGACAAGAGAAAGGAGACAGTATGTATAAGGAGACAATAGAAAGGAGACAGCATATGCAGCAGCAACAAAATAAGACGTAATAATAATATAAATATAATTTACTGTAGAGCCTCCGCAATAGAATCTTCTAAGTCCTGCATTAAAGCCTTAAAGTCGGGTGCTTCGTCTTCTTGATAATAATTGCGCTGTATATCAAACCACCCTATTTCGCTGTCTCCATAGAGATTAGGGTGTCTCCTTTTTATCTTAGGGACCTTGTGCTTCTTTTTGCGTTTATGATGATGCTTCTTGCTGTCTCCTTCACCTTCTGCTTCTCCTTCTGCTGCTGCTGCTGCTGCTGCTGCTGTCTCCTCTGCTGCTGCTGCTGCTGCACCTAAAGAGTCATCTCCTTCTACCTCAGCTGTCTCTCCAGCCTCAGGAGGAGACAGAAAACCCCTCTCTTCTTCAAAACCCTCTTCCTCGCCAACATCAGTCGAAGTCCTCTCTGCAACCCAAACCCTAAACCCTAAACCCTAAACCCTAAACCCTAAACCCTTGGGTTTAACGAGAAACAATACACTATAAACCCTAAACCCTGAATCTGTTATGTGTGCAAAACCTTCATCCCTTAACTTTAAACCCTACACCCCAAAACCCTAAACCCTAACCCAAAACCCTAAACCTCTTAACCCAAAACCCTAAACCCTAAACCCTAAACCCTAAACCCTAAACCCTCGAGTGTCTCTGACTTTGCTGTCGTCTTTTGTTATAGTGCATTCGCTTGGCCCTAGCGCGTCGCTGTCCCTTCTCTCTTCCTTCCTAAGGTTAAAAAAATTAAAAGAAAAAGAAAAAGAGAGACAGACACCAGTAAATGGAGACACTTGAAAAGGAGACAGCAATCATAAAAAACAAACTGACACTAAAAAGCAATAAGCAGCTCAATAACATATTGCTAGCAACTGTAATGTGTGTTTGTACGTTTCAGTGGAGTATGAATGATATAAATACAAATATATATACATATATATATATATATATACAAATATATAGATGTTACATATATATATGTAGATATATATATACATAAATAAATAAACAGATAAAAGAGTGAATAGATATGAAGATATATATATATATACATTTATATATATATAAATATATATATATATATATATATATATAAAGTTGATGCATGCATGCGTTTTGGAGTGTCTGCGTAGTGTGTAAATTGACAAATAACAATAAAACATATATATATATATATATAAACACATATATATAACAGCAAAACAAGCAAATAAATAAATAAACAAATAAACAAATATATATATATATTATATATTTATATTATATTATAATAGTACTTGTTCTTTAGCAGCAAGAAGTCTTCTTCTTTCTCTCTCTGTAACTTTTTGCGAGAGCAGCAGATAAATATAAATACTGCACAGTTCTCCAGGAAGGTTATAAGCGCATGCAGCAACAGCAAACGAAGCACTTCTGTCTCTGCTCTCTAAGAACTCTACTTGACGTATTATTGCGTCGGATATCCACTTTGAATCCAAAGTGTTAAATTGAAGAGGGGCCCCTCTAACTCTGCAAACAAATATATATATATATATATAAATATATATAAATATATATATGTAAATATATGTATTTATATATGTAAATATATATATTTATATACATTAATATATATAAATAAATATGAATGAATATATACTTATTTATATATATAAATATATATGCATATACATATATATATAAAGTATATATATATAAAATATATATATATATATATATAT